TTCCTTTCTTTTATTCCAATTCATTGATAAATTTTCTTTTTGCTGCTATATAAATAATAAAGACATTTCAATTGATGTCGCCTTAGTTTTCATGTTAGATTCTTGGCTTTTCATGAAGTCTAGGAATGTAGCTTGTAAATATTTTGAAATAACTCTAAAGATTCAAAAGTCAGTTTTTTAAAAAAAATGATGTAAAATCTGCATTTAAAACTACGACTCATTTGCATACTTCATTGGATATCCAAACACTGCTTACAGTCTTTAAAGCAGTCAAAAATTTATAGCCAAACTCTTCAATCAAATTCTTCTGTTTTTTTTATAAAAATCTTGAAAATTAAATTTTAATTTCCGATGAAAATTCACAAAAATAAAAAATTCAATTTCCTTCGACAGAAAAATAAGCGTTCTTTAAATTGAAATAACCAAAAAAAAATTAAATTCTGTGGTGAAATTTTTAGGGGAGTCATTCAGGATATTTGAAATAAAATTTGATTTTTCATCCCTCACAAAAAAAAAATCTAAATTGATGGAAATGAATTTTTTACGTTCAATTTTCATATAGCCAGGTGCATTAATTGGTGATTCCACTTTGGCAATATTTGAATGCTCTGCGGTTTATGTTTCATGTTATTAAATTTTTTTTTTCGTCTTCATTTCTTAAAACATTGCACCACAAAAAGAGTCTTGTTTACCTTTTATATTCTTTCATGTTCTTCAAAATCTTATCTTTTCACTTTGTGGTTTCGTGCTTTATATATTTTTTTGTGTATGCATACAAAACAATAATAATTATCATGAAAATGAGCCTTATGAATCCTCATAACTCAATGCTTGAAATAATAAAATAAAAAATTACTTTTTTCTCTCTTTTTTCAAGTCCATCTGATTAAATATAATTCCGAGTCATAAAACTTTATGATATCCAAAAAAAAATAAAGACTTGAATGTAGATCAGTTCTACACAAGCACAGGTGCATTTCATTCTGTAAATTGGGTAAATTTCGATAGGATCTTTCACTTTGACTGTCAGCAGCTTATTACGTAATTACGATTTCATCGCGTAAAGCTGCATGTTCAATTTTTTTTTCGTACATTATTTTAGGCTATAATCATCACATTCCGTTCTAACATCTAACTTCGTTATGTTGTTATTCACAATTTGTCGCATATTATAAACATGAAAAAAGTATGGACGGAATTATCAGAAATTAAATAATTTGATGAATAAATTGCAAGAGAAAGAAATGACTTCAAAAGTTGATTGATCATAATTTTTTTACCTTCTAGAATAAAGGAACAATTATAAAAGTACACGACATAATTCTCAGCAATTAAACTTTAATTTAATAAATTAAAGACTGCTGAATATTCAGTCTAAAAAGCATGTGACAAATTATACCGGAAGAATACAAATAAAATTAATTTAAAGAAATTAGTGCTCATGAGGTGATATAATTTCATTTTCATGAACACCACCTTAGTGCATCATGGAACTAATTAATCATTCATATGCTTACACTTTCAATACATCCATCAGCTGATGCACATTCCTGAATAATAATTCAACATTTAAGAAATATTTTCAAGAGACCGAGAAAAAAGGGAAGCGCGAGATAACTGCTGCTTCATATGTCCAGCAATTAAAAAGACGTTAAGACATTTTCCACTTTCAACCTGTTTCGAAATGAAAAAAAATGTACAAAAAAAAAGTGAAAAATTTCTTCTTCTTATTTACTCTTTTTTGTGTAACTTCCACTTGAATGTCTGGGGCCATCCAAAAACAAGTGCTGATGACCCTTCGACAGCATAACATGAGTAAGAGAAGTAACATTTAAAAGATCGATATCATTTGGTCTTATTTCTTCTTAGATAGCACAGATGGCATATGAAGTAAAAGTTTCGGGAAGGAAAGGAAGAAGAATTATTTTTTTTTTTTTATTATTTTGTGTATGGACATTAAGTCTTAAGTTAAAGCATTAAACTATTGAATAATAAATATTATGTGTACGTGCATGCTGTTAATATGGAAGTTCGTCTATATTTGGTAGCATTGAAATAACTGATCACGTTTACTAATTTCTTCTAATTCAATGGCTTAATATGCATTATGTCTGCGTGCATTTTGCAATGCTATTTGATTCGTATAAACTGATGATCTCATTCTTATTGAATTTAAAGTTTTCTGAAAAAGCAAGCAACATTTTTTAAGATTTCTGGTCAATAATCTTTAAGTACCTAACCGGAATGCCGATTTTACACATAAAAAAAATCTTTCATGTCGATAATCGAATTACAAGAGAATGGTGTAATCGATAAATCAATGTACGATTATTCCATAATTTCGCGTTTTTTCTTCGGGTAAATATACCTTAGAAGTTTATTTACTCAGGAAGTGGTTGATTTTAGTAAATGGATTTTTTTTTCGTAAGAACATCAATAATTGCGTAACCGTTCTTGACTATTTCATTACTTACTGTTTGATTGGATGAAAGAATTTAATTATTAGGCATTTTCAATTTTCAAGCAGTTCCTCTAAAGATGTTTGTGCTTATTTTAGAAACCAAACCTATCGTGTCTATCCATTATCGCATATTTGCGCTAAAAAATTGACTCGACATGACTTTTTATCTACATTGAGTAAAGACACGAAAACTAAAACACAGTCAGGCTGATATGAAATTTGAGATATTAAGGCTTACATTTTTTTAGCACCATCTCAAGCTGTCTCGATTTTTTTAAAGCATCAAAAAGAAGTAAAAATCATTTTACGGCTCAATGAATCGCAATAATTATATAAAGCTTCTTAAATCCACTTCATTCGTTTTATAAAGAAATCTATCTTTGCGCTTAATATAATTAAATAAAAAATTGAGAAAAGAAATTGTTTTTAAGATATTGAACAATAAGGCGTGGCTATTGAGTTTTCGTACTGCATGATTGGTGGAGAAACTGATAGCTTTTTAGCACTGAATACTGAATGAATACTGGTTAATGTTCAACATGTACGGTTATGCACGTGCGAGAACTTTTTCTCAATCTCTCACTTCTCAATATATCATTTTTTGTCGATTTCCCCTCTCTTTTTTTTTCATTCCTACACAGACTGCTCAGTTTCGGTGCGGTTTGAAATGTTCACAGACTTTTTTTTATTTTCTATGTTTGTCGATATTTTTTTCTACGTTCGATAAATGTGTGAAAACTTGAGAATTAGCGATTAGTGTTGATGTTACAATAATTAATATTTTTATCTGTCAATAATTGGTAAATATTATTTTACTAGCTTAGGAACTCGTCGGGCATGAAAATGTCTCAAAAGGATTATTTTTTTACGATTCAAGACAATTTCAAAAATTCATTTAATTTAAAAACATTCATTACAAGAAGAATTAGTAAAGGATATACCCAAAATTACCCGACATAAGATCAAAAATCAAAGTTCAGTCAATAATTAGGAATTCCAAAAGTCTCCAAAACAGCGCAAAAAGCGCCACACAGAAAATGTTCTAAAAAAAGTCACTTCTTAAATATTTGCTCGAGGTAAATTTAGTCAAAAACAATCACCGACAGATATATTCTTAAAAATATTTATAGCTTAATATTTACGTAAATATATACAAAAAAAATAATATGTATACAGTTTTTGTCACATGCCGCGATCACTTCTATTGTTTGCATAATCTTAAATATTTAATCAACCAATACAACTGCACGACGAAAGACCGCAAACGCTTAATATAGTCAAAAGCTTGTTAATTCTTAATTGCTTTTTAATTCGTTTTTCGTTTGACTAAATAATAGTTGATTTACGATAAGAATAGAGGAAAAAATGAGAATTAGATGAGGTCTCGATGATTGTCTCCATTCAAATATTTGAGAATCTTTCTCATTCTGTTGATTTTCCACACACGAAACTTTTTTTGTTGTCTTTTCTTTCAAATTTTTCCGGCTTGAACAACAAAAAAAAAAGTTATGAATGAATTTACACAAACGCTTCTCAAATGAATCGTGAGAATATTGTGGAACTTAAATATGAATGAAAATTGTTTCTAGATTCCATAATAGAATATCAATTCTGACGTCACAGATAACTTTGTGTTACAAGTTCAAACAAGTTGCATTGTAAAACATTTATGAATGAATGAAAATATAATCTTGTAGAACAATGCAGCTATAAATCAATCGGTCGATTGTTAATGAAAATTTTTGCTTGTTATAAAATGATAAATCTTGCAATTTTATTACTTTACATCATTGCCTGCTTACTGTCATGGTTGAGATCAAAAAATTTACGTACGATTTCATACTTTTACTTATATCCATCATCCGGAAGTAGCAAACAATCAATTGTGTACGGCGCTTCTAAAAATAATAATTTTCATTGAGAACTTTAAGACGCGAGAACAACAACATCAATTGCTACCTTACAACCAATACTTATTGGAAAAATAAAAGCTTTTAATATTAACTATATTTATGTTGTGAGCATCACATCATATTCTTATTATTATAATGAATTACTATGTATGCGTCGTCATCGTCAGTGATGTAAAGTTGTCAGCAAAGAAAGAAGGAAAGACATGCGAGAAGAAGAAAAATATTGAATGAATGAAAAGAAATGCTTTAAATTAATATCGGAAACGGAAATACATTAAATACCAATCATAAAACATTAAGGCATGATGGGCAAAAAAAAGACAGTTTTGATGTCCATTGGCGATGCTGTGTAGCAATAAATTATGATTTAAACATCCCAGACAGTAATTGAACATTTTCACATTTCTCCCAATATGACATATATCTTTCCTCCTTTCGCAATCACTTTTCATCATTACAACTTAAAGTATATACTATTTAGTATTCGTGTGCCCACAATTGTCAATTAGATGAAATGTTCTTTTGATTGAATGCTATGGCACAATCTTAACATAATGTAATGTTTTTATCCGTTAGAATGATTTATTGACTGACCCTTTCCTTCCTTTTATCTCGTTTATTTATAGGCTATACAACATTACATGATCGTAATGAAAATAACTCAACACCACCATCATCAACTACAACACAAATGTCTTATTTGTCAATGAATTCACTCAGGAACGGTAGCAATAGTGGGAATGCTGGCAATCAAAATAGCATCTATCCAATGCTTAAGGAAGAGAACAATAGTAGCAGCAGTGGAAATAATTCATCTAATTATCCTAGCTTAAGTGAATTATCGGTGAGTTCCTTAGTTCTATAGCATAAATTCTTGAAACTTATAGAGCATATTTTTAATCCACAGAATTATGGCATTTCACATCATTCATCGACATACGATGATCAACCACAAGACTATCAATCACTGCAACAATCATCACCATATCTTGAGAGTTCACCAGAGTTTTATGCTGGACTTAATACTGAATCCAAATACATGCCATCGGCACATTTTAAGAATTCAAGCTCAGGACCAAATGGAATTTATTCGCGAGTACCACGCTATAGTGGACCAAATGATAATTATAATGATTTCTCATCATATGAGGCTGGTCAACAATTCCAGCAAGTACCTGGTAGTGCAGCACCAACGGCAAATAATCAACAGTCAAGCTCATCAAGTGAATGGAATATTTCACCACATCATCCGCATCATCCTGAATTTCATCCCGCACATAATCATCATCATACATCATTATCACATCATGGACATCATCAGCATCAAAATTTCATGAGTCCATTAAATTTGGATAAACAGCTATTAAATAATTACAGTATGCTGCAAAATAATAACAATAATAATGGTCTTAGCAATCCTCTGTGTGGAACTCTATTACCTGCTGCCCTATCCGCAAATGGACAACCATGTTTCACCGGATCTGGACCCATACAATTATGGCAATTTTTACTTGAACTCCTCACAGATAAATCTTGTCAGAGCTTCATCTCATGGACGGGTGATGGATGGGAATTCAAACTCACGGATCCTGATGAGGTAAGATAAATCACACGCCTAGAAAATTAGCATTGAACAATAATTAATGATTTTATTGATTGATTTATTCATAACAGGTGGCAAGAAGATGGGGCATTCGTAAAAATAAACCAAAAATGAATTATGAGAAGCTGAGTCGTGGTCTTCGTTACTATTATGATAAAAATATTATTCATAAAACTGCTGGAAAGCGATATGTTTATCGATTCGTATGTGATCTACAGGCACTTCTTGGGTAAGTTTTGATGATTGCTCATTGCCATGACTAGATTACTAAATATATTATTCATCTAATTCCAGACTTTCACCCGAAGAAGTTCACAAAATGGTTGACTTAAAAACAGACAAGAAAGATGACGATTAAGCACCATTAGGGCAAGATATGAATTGTTTTTAATGGGGGGAGCTTCCATTCATGAATCATGAATAAAAACAAATTGAACTTTTCATGTGCCTTAAAGATTTTTTTCAAAAAAAGAGAAAGAGCCACAAAAAAAATTTATCAGAGTTCTTAAAAATAGTAAATTTCTTCCTACATACAGCATAAAAACTACACTTTCTGGTTGACCTGTTGTACATACAAAAATCGTTTGAGCTTCTACTTGATGATGATGATGAAACAACAACATACTTTTTTGTGATAACTTATAAGAACTTTTTAGATGTTTAGTTTCCTTCTTACTTTAAAATTTACTATAAAAAAAATATTATTAAAATTATTATGTAATCTTTACGATGTAGACAATTTTATGTCTAATGAAATATAACTGCTAAAATTGTTTGAGGATATAAATTAGTGAAAAAAAAAGAATACAAAGAAATTTCTCTGACGTCAGAAAATGTACGATTATTAAATTTTGGACTCTGTTGAGTTCTTCAATTTTTGATTTATTGGCTGGAAGTTGAAAGCTAATGAAAATATACGTAATCTGGCACAAGTTCTTCCAGACTTAATTTCACATTTAGCAATGCACAGCGATACTGATTTCTTAGTTCTGAATTATTTCAAAACCTATAAAATCAGTAAAGCTTTTGTTTAACTTCAGTCATTAAAGCTTACATTCTTCTTTTTAAATATGATTTGATTTCAAAATATGATCTCCAATTGATTGTCTTTTATTCTTTGTTTATTTAGCCGATTTTAAAATGTAAATTTCAGTAGATGAAATGATTATAAATGGAAATTTTAAGTTGTTTGGTTCTTAATGATATTATGAATTTTGAATTCAATCTAAATTGACATCATCGATTAAATTGCTTAGTTTAGGAAATTCTGATACAGTCGGTGACAAAGATACAACAAAATGATCAAACAAGCTTTAGCTTTGATATCAACAACATCAATATTTATCAACTTGATTGAATTAAACATCCAAATCAATAATGACGAAACAAAAAAAGTTTCCTTTTGATTATGAATGATGGACGTCATGATATAATGAGTATGAAAAGTGAGAATGATAAAAAATTAGATTCAGAAAAAAGATTTAAACATTTTTAAAAATTTACCAAAAAAAAATTAAAAGTTTTTGTGTCTACATAAAATGAAGAAAATGAGAAAAGTCTAGTTGTTAAATTGAACTTTATGTTAGAGAAAAGAGATAATTAAAAAAAACTCCTTAGATATAATTAAAGAAATGAAAAAGGAAATATGTAAATATTTTCACTATTTATAATCAATTCTACTTTTAGAGATGAATAAAAAAATTATTTTATGCTTTAGACTGTTAAGAAAATGAAAATTTCGATCGATCATTTTAGATGTATATGATGATCGATAAATAAAACAATATTTCGGTCAAGAAAATTTATATAGTAAAAATTTGAAAAGAGAACCTTGTGTATTATTGGAATTCTTAAATTTAATAAGAACAAATGATGCAAAGAAATAAACATTTATTAAATGATTAAAATTAAAATTTTGTGTTTTTGTTGATTTTTCAGATTTGGTTCGTTTACTTGAATCACCTTTTTACCACGTTTTCCTTAATTTGCATTCTTTTCAACTCTTCAGAACTATTGAAGTTTTTCATTTGACAATTCTAATGACAACCTTTTGAGTAAAAGTAACGGATCCTCCGTCAATATTGTAGTATGATCGAAGAACCGATAGACCTGAGTATAGGGCTCGCAGTGAAACTGGTTGTATGTCTATGACGGGTAGCCGAAGTGATATAAGTACCTAAATTGCCGAGTGGTAAGGATCTCAGATCGAGTGGTCAAAGATCTCCTCTTTTGAGGTCGTGGGTTCAATTCTCATCAATCAGACTTGTTTCATATTAGTATACACATATGGATGGCAGTTGCAGAGATATCTACAGATATCATTAGCACTCATCATTTATAGCTGATACTATTTAAATCAGCAAAAAATATCCCATGTTCCTCATTCTCTCGACATCATTAAACTGAAGTGCAATGACAAAAGTCATTGAAAATTTCTACTTTCTTTCTTATCTGTCATTAGTTTTATCACATTAAAACATTATTACTATACAGGCTTTATGTTTCCCTACATGCAGCCATAAAATAATTAATTGCGTGAGTTGTCTTATTTATTTCAGCTTCTATGTTATCTCCTTGCTATGTTTATTTCCTAAAAAGTTGGTAAATACGATAAGAATATTGAATGCCTCATAAATTTAAAGGTTGAGGATTATTTCATTGCCAAGGGTGCATTCACGCATGTTAATTCAATTAGTTGTTCTAGAGTTGTACCTTTAACGTTATGTAGAGTAACATTTTGCTGCTGGACTGTTTTGAAGAATTCTTAATGATCAATTTTTTAAAATAATCAGAATATCTCTACACTTTTAAATTTCTTTTTTTTTTAAATATTTTTTGGAAAATTAGCCTGATTGGCACACATTGAAATTCATTGAAATTCCAATTGGCAATAGAAGTCACGTGGCAACCACGTGGCATTCAGTTGGAAATAGCTTTGAGATCATTGGATGGCAAACATTTCAATGTGTGTCGATCGGTTAGGTTGCGTTCTTAAATGATCTTTAAATAAATTAGAGCTCGTTTTCAATTTGCTGAAATCGACTTAAATCACTCTCTGAAACAACTTTTGATAGAAGTTGTGTTGAATTTGCTTAATGCTCTGATCAATAAGTTTACAACAAGTGTCTTATTAAGTTCATTTTTCTGAATATCAATAGACTTAGCTTTAATTTTAGTTCATTGCAGTACACGGACCCCAAAAATACATGTTTACATATTTAATAATTTTTTTAAACACAATTTCTTGATTGATGAGTACAAAAACCCCAAAAAATTAACCAAGAATGACTCAAAAACACAAAAAAAAATATTTCAAAACTTAACTTTAAGTGACAAGGACTGTTAAACAAATAATATGCACAATCAGAATGTTTCGCGAATTTGCTCTAATTTCTAGAATGACACTTAACATGACGTTTATTAATTTTAAACAATGGCTTTAAATTGGATTAATCATGGATTTTACTTTCTAGGAAAGTCAAAATAGGTCTTTATCAAGGAATATAAAATAGCTTATGCAAATAAAAATTTATTAACATTTATTTTTTTCTATTTTACTAATTGTATTATCAACAACCTTCTCTGCAATAAAAATATACACATTTTTGTGCTACAAAAATTTTCATATAAAAGAATAAGACATTCAGTAACTTTATTTTAGTTTTCAGGTATTACAAGACATCATGGCATCAGTTCTCAAAAACATTGGATTAATACTTATTATTGTGCTTCACATAAAATACATTCAACCATATCCAGCCGATGTGTTGATTGATGAAATGCAGGAAGAAGACGATGGAACGATTGACTTGAGTCGTTTTGGTGATGCAATTTTTGGCGATCCTGATGAAAGTGTTGGTAGAATGGTTGATGAGTGGACACCAGAAAGTGGAACGAATGCAGAAGAATTAGGAAATTATTTTGAAGGTGACATTTTAATTCCATTTTCTGAAGCTCGAAACGGATTAGTAAAGGAATCATCAAGATGGAGAAACAATATCATTCCTTACGTCTTTCATAGTTCTGTTTCTAGCCAAGACAGGAGTTTAATTAATCAGGCTATTAATGAATACCATGCAAAGACATGCCTTAAATTTGTTCCTCGATCATCTGAAAAAGATTACATTTCGTTTGAGTCATCAAGTTCTGGATGTTGGAGTTCAGTTGGTAGAATTGGTGGCAAGCAATCTCTTAATTTGCAATCTGGAGGATGCACAAGAATCGGAACAATTGAACATGAAATGATGCACGCGCTAGGATTCCTTCATGAACAGAATCGCTATGATCGTGACGATTTTGTGACAGTCATCAAGCAGAATATTAAGCCAGGTGAGTTGTCGATTGTCAATTAATAATAGATTTTGTCTACGCAGATAAGGTCTAATTCATTCAATTTTTAATAATTTAGATACACTTCCAAACTTTGAGAAGGCAAGATATGGAGAAACAACTGCGTATGATGTAACTTATGACAAAGGTTCAGTTATGCATTATTCTCCAACTGCATTTAGTAGAAATGGACAGAAAACAATTCTTTCTAAGGTAAGATCAATATTCTGAAAAATATTAACACAAGCTATCAAAAACTGACAAACTCAAACATTTATAACTCTTAACAATGCTCATTTTACATTAAATTTCGAAATTAACAAGGTTGAAGACGAGGATTCAGAGAAAATGGGTCAGCGAGATAGCTTTTCTCAACGTGATATCGAGAAAATTAACAAAATGTACAGATGCAAATAACACAACTAATAAATTAATACACTTTAAACTACTAATTCTGTGACTGACAAAATCTCTAGATTACCAATTTTTAAAAAAATTCTTAATAAATGTGCTTAGAATGGCAGTGATGGACAAATGGGTCAAAGAAATGGATTCGCTCGAAGTGATTTGTTGAGAATTAACGCAATGTACAAGTGTGACAGTCAAATAAGTGGAGGTGGATATCCATCTGGAAATACTGGAGGAAATAATGTTTCACCACCAAGACCACAACCTGCTAGACCTAAACCAATACAACGTCCTGGAAACAATGCAGCTGGAGCTTTAATTAGTGGATTAGGATCTTTTTTCCAGGCTCTTGGAAGTGGTTAACATGCTTAATTTTACTATGAATTTCCATCCAAGACAATATTACTTTTGATTTTGATTCTAACCTTAAAATACTAATAAACGATAAAAATTATTTCGATTACCTCAAACACAATTAATGGTCTATGTTTAATTTATTATCAATTTAAAGGATCCTACAGGAGAGGAAACGATGGGTCAACGAGAAGGTTTTGCGGAAAGTGATCTAATAAGAATCAACAGACGTTATTGTGGAGGTTTAAATCCAGGACAAAGTAGACCTCCTGGACAGTCAGGATTTACAGAAGGCAATGGGAGCCCTTCATATATAGACTACATTGATAATGGAATTCCACCAAATTATCCAAACTATGGTGGATTTCCAATGTATCCACAAGGTCCTCCGTTTGGTGGACAGCCTCAACATCCTCAAGGACCTCCAAATAATGCTTATCCACCACCAAATCCTTATCCACAACCTCAACGACCACCTAGACCATTTAGACCATTTTTCAGACCTTCAATATTTGGATAATGTCAAATTAAATAATTTTTGTTCAATAAAGTATTTTACAGCTTATTTGAAATTTTATTTCATTTTTTATTGAAAATTCATTTTTAAGGAAATAATAAATAATATTTTGGTTATTATAAGGAATTGGAATTAGAGTTTTAATTATAAACCCGAATGGCACAAGTCGGTTAATTGAATATAAATGGTGCTGACTTTGATTTAAATCCTGCACCACGTAAGAGTCACACCGGCTTTGGTGCCAGATTTCTGATCGATTAATCGAATTGTGCAATTCAGAAAACTAGGATTCTTAAAAAAGCTGTTAATAAATTTTTCAACTTATGAATTAAACTTTTTTTAATGCAGAGGATCTTAAATTATTCTCTGCGAAGCATTACTGGTCCGTGAGAGTATCTTAGGTATTTTACAAAACGATTCAACCCTAGAACTTTTTTTCGGTAGATTTAGAAAAGCTTTACTTTAAACACAGTTTGTTCTGTACCTCGCAAAGTCTGTCATAACAAAATAAACTCTTAAAGATCTCAAAGAATTGAAAATCTCAACTGGCAGTACAGAAATTCCAAGCTCACATTGATAAAAGTTATGGGGAAGATCTACATATAGCATGTTTCAAAGAAGAAGATTATGAATATTTCAATTATTGTTAAAAAAAAGCTCAACTTTAATTAAAACATTTATAAGCTACAGTAACTACTTAAAGCTACAGACCATACCGTGTGTTCACATAAGGAAATTATTTTTCAAATAGAAAGGTGAATAGAATTAACAAAAGCATTAAGAAGTTATTTTTCCGTTCATTATTTGAACATTTTACAAATAGCTTTATTTAAATAAATATATTATTTTTAATTGATAAGGAAGTGTATGTTCATACTAAGTTTATCATAATGTCATTGCAATGAAAATTAATTGGAAATTAGGTGATATATGGTAAGTATAAAATAAAAGTGTTTCAGTCGAAAATTTAGCAGTTCTGTTAAGGCTGAGAAAATGGAATTAATTAAAATATTTTTGATTCTTGTGAATATTATAACCTACAAAACATCAGCGTTTCCAGCGTTGAGCTTTGACGAATCACGGTCTTTATTTGCAGTCGAACCAAATGAATCAGCAGGAAAATCGTTGAAAGAATGGTCAAAAGGTGATATGAAAGGAAATGCAGAAGAACAAGGACCATACCTTGAAGGAGACATTATCATATCTGATGCTAGGAATGGTGTTAAGCTTCCAGGACAACGTTGGACAAAAGGAATTATTCCTTACGAAATTGATGCATATTTAAGTATGACTTATGTGCGCTTATATCCAACAAAACTTAATTACTATTTAATTCACAGCAAACGAACAGAAAAACATGTTAAGCAACGCCATTGATGAAATCAAGTCCAAAACCTGCATAAAATTAATTCCAAGAGGTGGAGAAAAGGACTACGTTGTCTTCAAAAATGACGATTCAGGATGTTGGAGTAGCGTTGGTAAAACTGGTGGAAGACAAGTCATTAATTTACAAGCTCCATGCTTAAGAGTTGTCGGAACAGCAATTCATGAAATCATGCATGCCATTGGATTCTATCATGAACAAAACAGAGGGGATCGTGATAAGTATGTGACCATCAGAAAAGACAACATCCAGAATGACAAATACATCAATTTTGAAAAACTATCGCCTGATGAAGAAGATAACTTAAATACAAAATACGACTACACAAGTGTCTTGCATTATTCACCATATTCATTCTCAAAGAATGGTCAGCCAACAATCGAAACTAAAGGAAATCCTAGCACCACTGATCAAATGGGACAACGAGAAGGATTAAGTTCAAGCGATGTCTTAAAAATCAATAAAATGTACAATTGTAGCAAGTGATCTACTGGCTGATATTCTGAAGATTGTTAAGTTGCTTAAATTAAAGTTTGGGAACTGAGCATGTATCTGAAATTAATGATATCCTAATAAAGAATTTCTAAAATGAATTTTGAAGATTATCATTGTTATAATAATTCTAAATTCAGTTCCTATTTCAGTTATCTCGTAAATCTTTCTCTAGTTCTCGAATTCCAAATTCCAGTATGAACACAATACTATCGACTATCCCGCCTTTTAATTTAAATTATTCAAAAACATTTAAGACCCCCTATACCTCAAAATTGGACTGTCATAAATTACGCTGTATATCTTAAGAACTTCAACTCTGTAGTTTAAAATAATAAAAGAATTGCATTTAACTCAAATTTAAACACATTAGTGCCTGTAGTAAATTAAGTTATTAACCGATATCAAGCTTTTATGCATTTTATTACCAAAAAAATTCATGCAGTCAATATAAATGTTTGCGTATAAAATGAAGTTCCTGTACTACACAATCCAACTCCTTCATTAAAGTCTGCAAAATGAATTCACTAGAAAAGTGCTTGATTTTAATTATTTTACTCAAAGTTTTGTGTCTAGTTGAGTCATATCCATCAAATAAAATTCCTTGTACTAAATCAGATATTGGCATTAAGCCATGTGAAGCATCACGAAAAATAATTCTTGGAATGAACAGACGAGGAAATCCAGAAGAGAGGGGACCATATTTTGAGGGAGACATAATTAGATCCAGAAACAAGCAATTGAAAAAACCACCAAAATTATGGATTAATGGAATTGTGCCTTACGAAATTTCTGGAACCTTTCGTGAGTTCACAAGAAATTTAATTTTAATTTTATAAGCACACTTTATTTCATTTTCCAGCTCCTACCAATAAGAAAACGCTTATGACAGCTATTGAGGAAGTCAATTCAAAGACATGTCTGAATCTCATCCCTAGAACTAATCAAAAGGATTTCATTATATTCAAAAGTGATCCATCTAGCTGCTGGAGTAGCATTGGAAGAATTGGAGGTCCACAAGTCGTTAATTTAGAGAGTCAGTGCCTAAAAGCTGTAGGGACAGGAATTCATGAAATATTTCATAGTGTCGGTCTGTATCATGAGCAAAATAGAATCGATAGAGATGACTTTGTAGACATAAAGACAGACAATATTCTCAATTCTAAGCTTGTCAATTTTCAAAAAACAGCTGAAAATGTCTACAACACTAATGGCGTTGGTTATGACTATGGAAGTGTCATGCATTACTCGCCTTATTCGTTTTCAAAGAATGGAAAAATCACAATTGAAACTAAAGGAAATCCTAATACGAAGAGAATTATGGGACAAAGAGCTGGAATGAGTCAAAATGACATAGAGAAAATTAAAAGGATGTATAATTGTCAGTAATTAAATAATTATGGTAATAAAAATGGATATGCATGCATTTACTGGATTTTATTTTTGATTAAACAGAAATTTTTTCAGATGTAAACTTCGAAGATTTCTTCACTTTTGTTGAGAATATATTAACGGTCGTTCCATATTCCAATTATGTATGAAACTATAACTAGTTTATTTCCCCTTGTATAGTTGTTAACCCCCCCCCCCCCCCCCCCCCTTCATACAAATACTTATTCTGTTTCTAATTATCGAACAATAAACATCTTGTTATTAATTACGAATCCATGAGGAGTCTTTAACAAACTTAAAAGAACATTCTGATTATCAAACCAATAACTTTGCATCCTTGTCCCGAAAATTGGAAATAGAATCTTTTGAGAAAATTATTCATATACTGATTGTCTTTTTCAAACTTCAAATAAGTATTAAAGATCACACTTATTGGTATAGTTCAGTATTGCAAATGTAGATGTCTACACTAGATGAAGAATGTAGATTCTTCAATATTTTTTGTCTAGCTAAGAAACTTTCTTCACAAAGATCGATTCTACATGAAGATAGAAAATCTAATTTACACAAAGATTATTTCTACATAAAGAATCTGTTTACATAAAGATTCGATGTAGATGTCTACAATTCTACATTTTTTCCAGGTCTACATCAGAGAAGAATGTAGAATTGTAGACATCTACATCGAATCTTTATGTAGACAGAATCTTTATGTAGAAATAATCTTTGTGTAGATTAGATTTTCTATCTTCATATAGAATCGATCTTTATGAAGAAATTTCTGTCTCAGAATTTATCTGATCCAGACAAATAGCCAGAATGCAACACTACTATAGTTCAATGAAAGAGTGATATCTAGACTCAAAAATGTTTTTGTTCGTTAAACTGCAAGCATAAAATGAGAAACTCAAGTGGTTGTTTTTCTAATTCCCTCATGCTTTGGAACAATGAGCAACATGCTCATCAAGAGGCTCAATAAGCATTTGTTGGGCTTAAGGTCAATAACTGAAGTTTGGTTTACTTGAAAATCCATTTAAATACTAAAATTTCCAAAAGTAATATATTAATTTGATAAGAGCATGTTTGCTCAAATTAATGTTATCACTTAAGTGACATTGCAGCCCAAATTAATAAAACTTTTATATAAAAAGGTAAGTTTTCTTTATCAAAATCTTCAGTTTGGCTTTAAACGTTGAAAAATGAAATTACAAAAGAAATGTATGATTCTTGCTCTCATTATTGCTTATAAGCATGTAGAATCATATCCAACGGATGATTTTTTGGCAAAACAATCAAGTTTTGAAATAGAACCAAACAATTTTGCAGGAAGAATATTGACTAAATGGTCAGAAACTGATCACTTTGGAAATCCAGAAGAGCAAGGACCATATTTTGAAGGAGACATAATCGTGTCGAATGAAAGAACGTTCTTTACGCGTCAAGCAAAAAAATGGAAACATGGAATTATTCCTTATAAGATATCAGGATCATTTAGTAAGTTTAGTTCCTCGCAGGGTTCCTCAATATTAATATGGAGTCTTTAATTTTTTTAATCAAAAAATAATGGGTTGTTTAATTTGAAGAATCCTTTTTGGATTTTGATAAACCTCACAATAAGCCTAAAATTTATTCAGTCCTTAATTTCTAGCTGAGGATCAAACAACTATGATCAAAACTGCCATTGAGGAAATAGAATCAAAGACTTGCATCAAATTGGTTCCTCATAGCAGTGAAAAAGATTTTATCATCTTCAACAACGACGTTTCTGGATGTTGGAGTAAAGTTGGGCGAGGTGGGGGTTCTCAAACCATAAATCTCCAAAGTCAATGCTTTAAAACTATTGGCACAATAATTCACGAAATTCTTCATGCTGTTGGACTATTTCATGAGCAAAATAGAAGTGACCGAGATGATTTTATAGAAATTGTAACAGAAAATATTAGGAAGAAGTCTCTTGTTAATTTTCAGAAGTTTATACCTAATATTTATGATGCTGAGGAATCACTTTATGATTACGAGAGCATCCTGCATTATTCGCCGTATGCCTTCTCAATCAATGGAAAGCAAACAATTAAGACAAAAGGAAGTCAAGAGATAATTAAACTGATGGGACAACGAAAAGGATTAAGCGAGGGAGACATACTTAAAATTAACATGATGTACAAATGCTTACAATAAAGTAAGCGTGCAAGAAATTTGTGATTTCCAACTGTCAAAAAAAAATTGAATTTTCTAAAACGCTTAAACTTGCGTGAAAATTCAAAAAAATATTATTCGTTAAAAATAAGCTGCATGTATAAGTAAACGTTAATAGTTTTAATGCCTAAGCATGATTTTCATTTAATCATCTCGTAGCAGAAATGATTAATTAATAATTCTCTGTATTGGTATTTAATTAACTTTAATTGTACTTTTCAGGATTATGAGAAAATCAAGATACAAATTTTGAGACTTATACAACATTGAATATAAACATTACACTTAATTACACTAGCTATAATTCACTTTCTAATAATGCCTCACCACTTACATTAATAGCTACATCAGTGGAACTACATTTAGGAAAAAAATTATGATGACATGGATGTGAATTACAATTTTCCATTTTACATTCTAAAGGAAGCGTTGGATGTTCTATGGTTGGCATAAAATATGAATGATTTACAGCACTTTGTCCTGAATGTCCTTGAGTTTCCTCCTCTTTATCATACTTTCCAAAGAAATTGCAAAATCCATTCACTAAAATTGAAAGTATAATTAAAAAGATTTTAATGACCATAATTAAGGCTATACGTACAGCAATTAATAATAGCACAGCTCTTGATACACAAATAGAAGCAACATGCAAGAAATAAGAGCTGAAAAATTGCCAGAAACAAGACAGCAGAATCGTTCATCCTTGAAATAAACAACACAGAGACTGAAGACTGAGATTTGGTTCGGTAAATGTATAGAAAATATAATTGTTCCTTTTTATTCCACACAGAAAATTCACGTTTGTTACAGAGAAATATTGACAAATTGATTATAAATGCTTTAAAACTTATTCTTTATCTTCTATTAACTTTATATCGATAATACGATGTTCAACGGGGTTCATAGTTGGTGGCACTTTAATGTACAAAACTCCTTTTGAGATCCATGAAGATATTTTTTCGATATCTAGATCCAAAGGCAAGACATACTTTCTGCTGAATCTACGTTCAATATGGCCAAATTCGTCTTCCTTTTCATCATGAGCGGCAGTTATCATTATAGTATGTCCGATTGTCTTAACTTCAACTTCCTCTTTTGTAAAATCATGAATATCTACAGCGGTCCGAAAGAAGCCATCCTTACCAATTAATAATTGCTTAAAACTTTTTGGGCGATGGTTTGTTAAGAATTGCTCTGGATAAGGAATATCGATGTTATCCATCAAATGACGTTGTAATGATGGAGACCTAAGTGGTGACAAGGTACGATCTCTTGAGCGTCTTGGACAATCCATTTTTTTAGAATCACAAAACTTTATGAAACACAAATAATCAAAAATAAATTTTTTTAAATACAAAGCAATATGGACGATTCTATAAGTGAATGAATAGCTTGCAGCTTGTATGAAAACAATACGCACCAACACACAGAAAACTTATCTTATGTTTTATCTTGCTTACTCGTGCTGCATACAATTAGTCACATGGACTGGAATCAAATGGAACGATTTTTTCAGTTGTACAATTTTTTGAATTTTGCTGGAATAAACTTTGGATTTCTGGAACAATTTGGAATCACTGGAAGGATTATTTCTTAATTTAAAAAATCTGTTATTTCGAAAAAATATATTAACGCTTTAAAAACTTAATTAGCACCTTTAATCAACACAGATATATTCATGAATCATGAGGAGATAAACGGATAAAATATCTTATCTGATAAATTCATATCAAGTCCATTTGTGCATGTATTGCAGTTTTACGCATTTTCCAATTCCTTTACCTTCACAAAAAAAGTACTGATATTCACTTACAGAATTTGCCGTTGTTTATTAAAAAATTATTTCTTGTATTTGTGGACCGATATATATATATATATATGTTAGGCTACACGCGCTTCTTATATGATAAATAATTACGTGCCAAATCTCTTTTGTCTTGGTTCTAATGCGTCGTAAATGTTAGTGTTTACATCTTCGTTTCACAATCTTTTCATTCGCTTTTTCAAGGCACTCCTATGAATGATATCATACACACATGTGTGGTAAAATGAGAAAAGTGAATTAATTATTCATGACGATATGCTCAACGGTTAAAAATGTTTTAAATTATTTCATCAATTTCTGCGCCAATTTTCAAATTTTTTTATAACTGTCATTTTTTATTTACAAATTTGAAGAAATATTTGATAAAATCATTTATTTTAAATTCTAAGCTAATTAAGGCTTTAATAAGGAACAAATAGGTATTGCTGTGATACCAGAGCACTGTAATCACTTATGAATGTGAAGGAACAGTGTAAAAAGTCGTAAGAGTAGATTTTTAAAAGGAATAAGTATTTTTGAGGAAAAATTGCAAGAATCAAATAATTAAGAAAGATATAGATGACAACAGGTCAAGTAATAGAGGAAAGTGACATGAACCAGCAATTCGTGAGTAATGATCAAATCACTGACATTGAGTCGTATAGAAAATTAGTGAAAAATTTTCTGGATCTTCGTCGATATAAATCAGCCTTATATTGGTCAGAGAAAGTAGCAGTTCTGTCTAATAACTATCCAAAGGATGTATATCAAATTGCGCAATGCATGTATATGCTTAAAGAATACAATCGAGCTAGTCATGTCATCAAAAAGAGCGGAATAGAAACAAAGAATTTGCTATGCTTGACTTTACTAGTTGAATGTCTTTTCGCCTCAAATGATTATCAGGAAGCGCTTAATCTGCTCAATTCCTCAGAGATTGAAGACCTAAACACATCGCTACATGATGAGACTGAAATCGATCCAACAATAAGCCAAGTTAATGACAATCTTCGAAATGTAAGACAAAATTTTGTGTGCTATAGCTTGTTATTGATGTATCTATATAATTCCACAGGATATGCTTGCTTCATTGTATTTACTGAAAGCTAAAATTCTCGAGTCAATGGATAAAAGGACATTAGCGATCGATTGTTACATTCAAGCACTTCATAAATCAGTTTACCTTACAGAAGCATTAGATGCATTGTTGCAGCATGAAGTTTTAATGTCATGGGAAGAAAAGGATCTAATTCATCTTATAATGCCCAATAAACAGCTATGCAATGATGCAGATTTGAAGATATTAAAGCATCTTTATGATCAGAAATTAAAGAAATACTATTCGACATCCAATCAGGTATGTTACTCTTCTGTGATTCTACCCAATACATCAACTTATAAACTTGTTCCTTTTTTAGGCAGTACATCCAGAAAAGACACCAAACAACGCTAATATACTCAATACAATCAATGAAAAGATTAAAGCCGGCGAGACTATAACAGATTCTCGTAGATCCATAGGTCTGTCAACATCCACAACCATCAAATCAGCTACAAAAGCTTTTCCTACACCTGGTGCTCAAAGTGTCATGTCACCAGCCAATAAAATTCTCTTTGATCTCAAAAACACCTCTGCATCTGCATTCTCAATTCAAGCTAGTCTTACGAGAGTCTCAATGCTCAATAATAGCCGTACTCTAAATACCAGTAAAATTACAATCAATACGATTAAAAATTCCGAGGATGCTTTGACAGCCGATAATGCGCTTAAATTACTAGAAAATAGTGTGGATATTATGGTTGCAAAGGCTGAAGAATTTTTCTACAATTGTGAATACAAAAAGTGCTTGAAGATTATCGAAGAGTAAGTGCTATTAATGCGTACCTTATATCCTTACGTAAAACTTACTTTTACGTACGTATTTCTGATTTACGTAATCCTTACGTACGTATTTTTAAATACGTAAATTTTTAAATTTACGTATAAGTTCCTTGTTTGTCATCATCTTGAATAACACTAAACTGACCATTTTCATCCATTTTTCAGAATACTGGATCGCGATCCGTACCACAAACGAAGCTTATTTATCCAAATAGGATGTTTAATGGAACTAAAGGACTCAAATGGTATGACAGTTAAAAATATCACAAATGTATCATCATTTTAATGCAATTTCCTGATTTTTCAGCATTATTTTACACAGCACATAAGCTTGTCGACTTTAATCCTGATGATGCAATTTCATGGTATGCTGTTGGATCTTACTACATACTGATTAATAAGACCGAACAAGGTAGACGTTATTTATCGAAAGCAGCATCTCTCGATCGTTTATTTGGACCAGCATGGCTGTCTTATGGACATTCGTTTGCAAAAGAAAAGGAACATGATCAAGCAATGGCTGCATATTTTAAGGCAACACAATTAATGCGTGGATGTCACTTACCATTACTTTATATTGGAGTTGAATGTGGATTAACAAAAAATTATGAAATGGCTGAAAAGTTTTTCTATCAAGCTATGGCATTAGCACCACTAGATGTTTTTGTACTACATGAATTGGGAGTTATTAAGTACGAGTCTGAATTGTTTGAGGATGCTGAGGAGATTTTTAGATCAACACTAAATATGGTCACTGAAATGTGCAAAAAGAATCAGGAACCAATTAGTGAACGATGGGAACCATTATTAAATAATCTCGGTCATTGTTGTCGAAAAAATAAAAAGCTTGCAGAATCCTTAAGTTTTCATACACAAGCTCTGTCATTGAAGCCAATGAATGCACAAACATATACTTCAATCGGTTTCGTGCTTGCTCTCATGGGACGATTAAGTGAGGCAGTTGAGGCATTCCACAAAAGTTTAGCATTAAAACGTGATGATGTTATAGCAAGTACAATCCTGAAAACAGTTTTAGAGGATTTAGTCGAGGAGATGGTTGAAAATGATGATATTGTGAAAGAATTTAAATCCGATCTAATGCCGGTAGAAGCGACAATTGATGCTAGTGAGGAACTAAAGGAAAATACCGATGCCAATAGAAAATTGAAATTCGATGAAAATGAGGATTTAACTGAGATGAGTTTAGATTGTGACTAATACCTTTATTATTTAAGTACATGAAATAAACTTCCATATGAAGAACTTACTCTCTTTATTGTCATCTCTCCGTGCTTTCATTATTCTCGCGAGAGATTCTCTCTTTTTTTGGTGATTAAATTCTGTGAAAAATAATGAAATTTGATATGATTTCATCATTTGGCTGTAAACACTTTGCGATTATCAGCGTGAAATATTAAAATAATAGATTTAATGTCATTAATAATTGCAAATCTTGTTGACCTCTTTTAACGCCTTTTCCAATTTTAAATCTCTACAATTTCTCCACATGTTTTAGCACGATTTATCGGATGTTGAGCATATATTGGCTTGTCTATTTACGTTTTTGATACAGCTTTGGATGTGTTTTGAGTATTTCTGGTTGGTTCATCTTATTGTGGATGTTGAGAGTGACTCAGTTATAGACAAGCATACTTGGTAGGTGGTAGCACTAAAGGAAAGGGATCAGAAGCTGTTTGAAACCTTCCTTTAACCATTCATAGCAGTGGGTGGGTTGGGATGTCTAAAATCATATTCTTCGATATAAATCAGTTGTGAATGAATCATAAGTTAATGAAGTCATGATAAAGAAATTGAGCCTTTTATCTCACAGCACTCATCTAATACTTGTGGTCACCCTCCCCCCCCCCCCCCCCCCCCCTAATATTGAAGATCCTGAATGCACTTTATATCCCAATGATACTTAATAACATTTCAACTTGCGTCTCTCTGAGATTTGCACAAACATAGCAAGAGAAGCAAATCGGCAAGTCAGTCAGTTCATACCAAAGTTTCAAAGAGATAAGTCGTGTTGTGATAAAGTTCTATGAAAGAAGAAAAAAAAATTATTGTAATACATTTTAAAGGAAAATTTATGTGTTTTAAGAGATTTTTTTGTCAATTTAATAAAATCCTTTAACTAATATCCATCGATACTGAAAAATCGAGGAACGTCATTTGACAATTTATATTTGACTTCAAAAAAGCTCATTTTACTCGGTAATTTATAATTTAATTAATAAATTAAATAGACAGTTCTGAAGGATCTTTTAAAGTAATAATTTTATGTGAGTCTTAATTACCTTCGTAATCATATTCATGTGATTTTAATTGGTTAAAGTTTTTAAAATATTGTGAAAAAGGACATTAAAAAAGCAGAATATTAAAGGCAAGGAAAGTCATGCGAATTTTTCTCAAACTCGTGAATCAAATAATATAATAAAAGAAAACCGGACACTAATACAATAAGAATATATAAAAGAGCGTGTGAAAAATTTTATTCGTTGAGTTCGAGAGAAAAAGGAAGGAAAAATTGAGAAAATGCCGTCATTGCAACAGGTACGAATTTTATTTGTCTTTATATTTTTGCAACATGTGACTCTTAAAATTTCATTGTTTTATTCTGTTGAGTCACGTGTGCTTTCCAGGATCTGGAATAATTTAAAAAGAAATTACTGGAAGTTTCCAAAAGAAATCCTGGAATATTCCAAAAAAATATAATTTGAATTTAAGAAAATCGTTGAAAATTAAAATAATCCTTAAATGCTATAAAAGTGATTAAAAATTCATTGTATCAACAAAATTTGACCACAAACAATGTTGTATTCCTGTTTAGTAATTTCCTGCTTTGTAGTATCCTCAAATTAGTTTTTCTCACTGTAAATTTTACATTTCCATTATGTAGAGCTTTCGCTTCCTTTGATATGATGATATGAGACGAAATGTAATTTAAAACTTTACAAAAAGGAACGAGAAAAACTTTAAACTTTTTTTTTTGTTCAGAGCATGAGCATGTTTGGAAGTTTTTTGTTGCACATTCCTTTTTTAAGGCGATGCACAAATTGTTATGAATGTTTTGTCAGATTTTTTGGTATTTCTGATGCTCGAGAATCATTTACTTTTTTTTGTGGCATTCTTAATGAAATTCCTCAAAGTAAGCAGGCATGAGTTGAGTGTTGGAAATCTCTTGAGTGACTATCTGTCAAATTAGAAGTTTAGGGAGCCGGGATGATAGATTTAGCTTGTAACAGAAGCTTATCAGAGGGTTCATATGCTCAAAACTACCCAATTAGGGGATTTCGCAGAGAAAAAATCCTTGATTAATTTCTTGCTACTTCCATGTCTTGTGCAAAATGTCAAAATAAATTAAGTATGACTATAAGGGATTTATTTAGGAAATTTAAAGCATTGAAGTTTTTTTTTTCTTCTCCGTGAACTTTCAAACAGGTTGAAAACATTTTCTTCTTCTTTTCTGTCAGCTTGTAAAAAGAGCTTTTGGGCGATTCCATGAGTGATTTTTTTTTTCTCAACTCAATTTTTTGTAAATATTTCCTTAATTAACTTCATTTAACGCCATATTTAAGATTTATTTTATTTATTATTATGGTATTTATGTATTTAAGTGCATAATCTTTTAGTTAAATCTGTCTGACAAAAGATATTTTAAAAAAACCAAACTTAATCGGTCAACTTTACGAAAAATTGATTTTTAAATTTTCATCAATATTTCTTCGAATATCCATTGTTGTGTTACAAATCTATGATAAACACACGTGAAATCGTCTGTGCTTTATAACAATATCTTATTTGTATGTCTTTCTACTGTAATTAAGGAGAAAATTGGGGAAAACACCACTTAATCGGTCAACTTTCAACCGATTATTGCAAAACATATTATATATTTTTGTCAAAATGCAGCATAATTAAGACGATTAAATGCTAATAACACATGAATTATTCATCAATTAAGTCTTATTTAGTGAAAAGATATGTTGAATTATGTATATTTAAGCAGAAAAAGCTAAAAAAGTTTTTGAAAAAAAAAATTTCAGTTTCATTTACCCATGGAATCGCCCTTTTTCCCAAATTTTTGTTTCTTTAGATAAATTTTTCAGAATCACAGAATTCATTAACTATGTAGAGTCGTGAATTCTATGACAGGAAAGGCTGTGGGTGTTATTGAATTCTTTAATGGAAGTTATGGTTTTCGAAATACGAGATAAAACCTACATGAAAGTTAAATTGCATGCTAGTATCCATAATCTATCGATATCCTAATATTTTGACTAATTCTATCCTACAGCATGTCACAAAAATCATTAAAATTGTAAACTTATCTAAAAATCAGTACAAGGATCCAAAAGAATTGCGCTTTTCAAGTTCAGTTCTCATGAAAATGTCATGCTAGTTTCCTCCTATCTTGTTTTTCTCCTTACTGTTCTGTTAAAGATAGACACGAAAAAAAAATTCCCAACAATCGCGCAACAAGAAAAAAACTTTCGCCTTCGCTTCGAAAAGAAGCAAGAACGAGAGAGAAAAAAAAGTTCCTCCATAATTCGAATGTCTGCTGCTCGAAATGTAGAGAAAAAAAAAAGTAAAATAATCATATCATTTTTTCGATAAATATCCATTTGCTGTAAATGTCAGCTACATGTTATTAATCAATATTCGTCTAATGTTCATTTTGTTGAGAAAAAAATGCTCGTCACTATACTGATTCTCCAATAAAAGTTTTCAACATGACTGTTCATCTATATGGAGCACGAGTAGTGAAGGAGTGACTACTGAGAATGCTTCTGTAGAGCGCACTGAAGTATGGAATCTACTAGTCTGATTAAGCCACTGATTCTTAAACTGTTATTAATAATCCACTTGTATTGTTTTCTGAGAACTTTAGTTCTCTTTAATAAGGAGCAAGGTATGATCCTAATACCATAATAAGTAATGTCCTTACCCACATACGTTTTAAAAATCATCTGTGGAAGTCACAGCATTTAAATCTGACAAGGGTTTTTGAAACACCACTAAAAGTCATAAATGCAAGAAGAAATTTCTTGTTCGACAGTAACCAATCCAAAACGAAGAAAACAAAACAGCATGTCCTGTAAAAGCTAGCTAAAAATAGTGGAGACGTAAGAGGAAAAGAGGAAATGAAATCGAGTATAAATCATAATGAATTTCTTTTGTTTTACCCTTAATTACCTTTTCGTGTAGATATTTAAGGTGTTTCACAACCAATTTACTTCATTCCTAATACGTCCGATAAAATGTCCAATATTTGAAGACGGAAATAACATAATTGGCAACTTTACAGCTTTTTTTTCTATAAACTGAAAATAGATTTTTGCACATTCTATGGACGTGCAGAATTCAAGGAGGAAAAAGCCACAAGATACAATTTTAGATGTCTATTATTAAGGATTTTATGTAATTTATCAAGCATCTATCCATCCATCCATCCATCTGAGAATATAAATCTGTAAAATCTTTGCCAAATATTTTTTATAAATTTTCAAAATTATCAAGAGATCCCATACACATCTTAGTCTATTTACTTATAAGTAAGTAGGTATAAAATGTCTGTGTATTATGAAATTGATGTATCCTTATCAGACATATCAATCAAAATTATTGTATCGTTTCTATAAAATCTTCCTTCATCCTATTTCCCACTCACTTAAAACGCTACAATTCACATTTGCTACAATCTCTCCTTAATATTTTGTTGTTGTTGCTGCGGCTGTAATACTTATGCGGCCAATTTATACTTGAGTGGATGAGAATGACGACAAAAGAGAAAGAGAGAGGGAGAGTATTAAAGGATGTGAGATTTTTTCTACAGCAAAATAACATCGATTTTAAATCAGATTGACTTTTTTGTCTGGTTTATAAAAATGTTTATGATTTCCTTGGGAAACACGTGGAGCTTTTTATTTATAATTAAGTGAATTGTGAGATTTTTTTTGGAATTCTGTTTAATGGCATTTGAAACATATCATTGTAATGTATGGAAAAGAAAAGGGTGTGACAACATGATCAAAATAGTCAAAGCTGAGTAGGGCAGGCGTTTAGAAATTCTAAGACTTTAATTTAAGGTTAAAATATTTTAGTTCTAGATTTCAGAGCTGTACCTTTATCAGTTATAATTCCAACCAGTAGCTTATAGTTATTGAATACAGGTTTAGCAAGCTTTAAGCTAGTTTATATGAATTAAACTTGCTCAAGACAGGGTTGCATTCGGAATCGGCAATTGGCAGACGGTAGACAGAGATAGAACTAGTTTTAGGGAACGGCTAAGGGAGGTCGTGGATCACAATTGATCTGTACGACCAGCGAAGTACGTAAATAAGTTAAACTTGCTCATAACTTACTTTTTGAAACTTTCTGTTTACTGAGGATTGCAACTGACTAAAAATCGAGGTTTTATATCTTAAAAATCAATAGCATCAACATCGCTTTAAGACATTACTCACTAGTTTCAAACAACTTTTATACTTCCTTCATAACTCATCAAACAGATATCGAACAAATAAATATTTCTAGTTGTTGGTCTTCATCCGTCTTAGCTAGCTTTCTGAAAATGTCACAAATGTTTCTTCTTCTTTTCACTTTCTCTTTTCCTTTTCTCTTTATCTGCTTACATGCTACTTACAATTTTGAAAGGAAACATTTGTGTGAAAGCTATAATATGATTTACCATTAATATTGGCTGTGTATAACTCAATAACATACCATACAGCACAACACATATGTCCTATTCGATAAAAGAAAGAAAGCTTTCAATTTACTTAATTTTGATTTTCATTTTCTGTTATATCTAAAATACACAATTAATGCTCGCTCATATGGAAAATATTTTCAGATTTTTTTTTCTTCTCATTTTCTATTTTTTTCTTTTTATAACGGAATTAAGAAGAAAGGCAGAAGAATTGTTGTGTATGTGACGTCAAAAGTATGTGTGTGCATGCTAAAGATATTTTTTTATCCTTTATGTGAAATTTCTTAGATTAAAATGACATTTAAGCTCCGCAAACTTGGTAGTGCTTGTTTGATAAACGTAAGATCGCATTTTGTGCTCATTTTGGCAAGATGGGTGCTGATGTCTATAATATTCTCACAAAGACTTTCGATTTGTTTGCTTTTCATAAGTTGAATCTTAATTGCAGAATTATGTTGGCGCTTAATTAAGGTTTCCAATGATTGATTAATCTTGAAATCTGCTGAAACCTTTAAATCTACTTAGCATTATTAAATGAATCAGGAGATACTTACAATAATTCTTAGATTGAAAACAAGTAATATTTTTAACTTAATCTCAAATTCCCATAAAGTTCTTGTAAGTTTCTAGAAGTTCTACACAATATTGTTCAGATTGCATTATTATCTAGCAACAAGTCTCAATGCTTGAATCGTTAAATTTAAAGTTTATAGAGAACCTTGGAAAGCTTAATTAGATTTTTTGTAAGAATTTAGATTCAATATTGAAAGTATCAGTTTTTCAGAAGCTAAAAGAACTGCGCCTTAATGTTTATCGAAGCTTTAATGACCCCTTTTTCCTA